CGCCCCGCCGGGCAAAGAGATCCCGGAGGTGCTGGTGGACCCCCGCAGCCGGCGGCGCTACCTGCGGGGCCGCTTCCTGGGCAAGGGCGGCTTCGCCAAGTGCTTCGAGATCTCGGACGCGGACTCCAAGGAGGTGTTCGCGGGCAAGATCGTGCCCAAGTCCCTGCTGCTGAAGCCGCACCAGAAGGAGAAGATGTCCATGGAGATATCCATTCACCGCAGCCTCGCCCACCAGCACGTCGTGGGCTTCCACGGCTTTTTCGAGGACAACGACTTCGTGTTCGTGGTGCTGGAGCTGTGCCGCCGGAGAGTGAGTGTGGCTGCGGGGGACCGGAGCTGCGGGGCCGGGCTTGAGCGCCGGGCCGAGCTGCGGGAGAAGGAAGGGCGCCAGGGGGCAGGCGCCGGGAGCCTCGGGGGGGCGGAAAGGCTCCGGGGCAGAGCTGGGGCGGCTGGGGGAGGGGTTTCGGTTTCGTGGAGCCGTCTTGTGGCTGCCGGGGCAGCTGCCCCTGGACGCTGGGTGTTGGGCGGAGGGGACCCTGGCAATGGGCTGGCGTCCGGAGTTGCTAAGGGTGGAGTCCCGGGGAGGGGGCGCCGGGATCCGCGCTCCCGGGTTGGGGTTGAGTCGGGAGAGCGGGCTCCAGCCACGCTTCGGGGCCCAGGAAAGGGATCTGCCGCTGCGAAAAGCCTGGGAGGGGATACTGGGGACTGAGCTGAGGGAGTGGGGCTCACCGGGGTCCCAGGGCAGGGCGTGGGCAGGAGCCAGTAGGAGAGCGGGGTGCTGTGAACGGCTGCGCCAGGTTTTGGGGAGAGCCCAGGTCCTGGTTGTTCTGGAGAAGAAATGGCCGGGGCTGGGGTCCTGGGCTGCCTTTACCTGATGACACCGCCTCCAGCCTCGGACCTCACACCGACCCTCCGACCCCTTCCTCCTTCACCCCGCCCAGTCGCTCCTGGAACTGCACAAGCGCAGGAAAGCGCTGACCGAGCCCGAGGCCCGCTACTACCTGCGGCAGGTGGTCCTTGGCTGCCAGTACCTGCACCGAAACCGGGTCATCCACCGCGACCTCAAGCTGGGCAACCTCTTCCTCAACGAGGACCTGGAGGTGAAAATAGGTGAGGCGCTGGGCCCGCGGCGCCCCTGGCACAGCCAAGAAGCAGCAATAAATGGGAGACGGGAGAGGGGCAGGAAGGAAGAGGTGGTGGGAGCCCTGGGCCTTGGTTATCGGTCGGGTGCAGGGTACCAGCCCTCAGTGCGCCGCCTGTCAGAGCGTGTGCTCGCCGCCCAGAGCCCAGTCTCCCCGCGTGCTCTTCATCCCCCGCCCTCCCTGTGGCCGCGGCACTGCCGTCTGTGGAGTGAGTTTGCTTTGTGGTTCGTTTGTGGCCCTCTGTTCTGTGTCCCCCATAGGAGTGAGGCCCTATGGTTCTTGTGCTTTGCTGTCTGACTTCACTTAACCTGCTACTCTCAAGCTCCATTCATGTTGTCACAAATAACAGTATTCCACCCTTTTTAATGGCTGAGTAGTGTCCCATTGTACATGCACAAGCTTCTTTTACTACTGATTTACTTATTTCTTTATTTAACCCTCGCCCAAGGATAGTTTCCCCACCCATTGCTTTTCAGAGAGACTGGAAGGGGGGGAGGGAGAGAGAAGCATGAATTGGTTGCCTCTCACATGCACCTCGACTTGGGCCGGGGACCAAGCTTGCAACCGAGGTACCTTGACCAGAATCGTACCCGAAACCCTTCAGTCCAAGGGCCGATGCTTTAACCACTGAGCCACACCAGCCAGGGCTGAACCACATCTTCTTTATTCCGTTATCCATCAAAGGCCACAGGTTGCTTCCATGACTTGGCTACCGTGAATAATGCTGCAGTGAACACAGGGGTACATGTGTCTTTAAAAAGAAATGTTTCCAAATCTTAGAGGTAGATACCCAGAAGCGGGGTTGCTGGGCCATATGGTAGCTCTATTAATTTTCTGAGGGACCTCCGCACTGTTTTCCACAGTGGCTGTGCCAATTTACGTTCCCATCAGCAGTGTACAAGGGTTCCTTTTTCTCCACATTCTCTCCTACACTTTTATTTCTTACACAGTTTTTTGGTTTTTTTTTTAAAGAATTTAAATGAGTTTCCAGTTTTAAAGTTAGGAGGCTGAACACAAAAGTTTTGATTTGGATCTCCTTTTATTTTAGTTTTAAAGTTTTAAATTGATTTTTAGAGAGAGAAGAAGGGAGGGAGAGAATCATTGATGTGAGAGTAAGACATCGGTTGGCTGCCTCCTGCACACCCCCTTACCGGGGATGGAGCCGAAACCCAGCCTTGTGTCCTCACTGGGAATCGAACCAGCAACCTTTTGGTACACTGAGCCACACCAGAGTTCTTTTTAAACAGTTGGAAACTCCAGCAGTACAAGGACAGCATTCCCTCAGGGCAGCTCTTTGCTGGGCTGGAAAGCAGCTGTTCCATTTAGACTCCCTCTGGTTTGCCACAGTCCCAAACCCTCCCTATTACCTCACAAACTTGCCTAATAGCAGTCTTGAAGTTTACTTACTTGATCCCTGCGTTTTTCTCTGCCTGTCAATTCCCTTTTAGAAGCTTAGCCCTCCTTTCTAAGAGGAGGGGCTAGGAGGGTCAATGAGAGGCCCCTCCTTGGGCCAGCTTGGTGGGAGGATTCCTGAGTAGGCCTTGCTGCACACAAGGAATAGAGCTTGAGGGATCAGATGACCCTGGTTGTCAGTGGTCAAACCTGAATCATACAGGTAAGTAGTCTGCGTTGGCAGATGACAGAGGCTAGCATCTGAGTTCCTCCCCTTCCTCCCTCTGTCCCAGGGGATTTTGGACTGGCAACCAAAGTGGAATATGAAGGGGAACGGAAGAAGACCCTGTGCGGAACTCCCAATTACATAGCTCCTGAGGTGCTGAGCAAGAAAGGGCACAGTTTTGAGGTGGACGTGTGGTCCATTGGGTGCATCATGTAAGTTGGGAGACCCACCAGCCTCAGCAGGGGCTCTTTTGGAAATCTCACCTGTGAACTGATCTGCCTTTGAAAAGGCTGCTCCAGGGGACAGACTACCCAAAAACAAAGCTCACTTTACCGTCTCATCTTGTCACTGTGTGCTGTAGGATTCCTGCAGCCTGGGCCCCTTGCTGTTCAAAATGTGGCCCACAGACCAGCAACACCGTTACCCAGGAACCTGTTAGAAATGTAGAGCCTGAGTCAGAATCTGGATTTTATCCAGGTCCCTGGCTGATTGTCATGCATAAACGTTTCAGAACCACTGATCTGAAAGCAGCATTGGGTGGGAGACTTAGGCCTGGAGTGAGAGCTGGCGGGAGGGGGTGCCTGTGCTCTGTCCAGATCAAGGCACTCAGAGCTGGGTGGTGGGCAGAAGGCCTTTTCAGATGTTATCTTTGTTGTTGTTGGCCTGAGTACTGGGATGAGAAATGAGCTGTGGCAATGGCCTTGTACTTCCCGGTGGAGCTATTTCAACTGAAGACTTCAGGCTTCAAGTATAGAACTATTGAGCACAGAACTGCCTCTGCAGGAATGAGTGGCCCCGTTTTGACTCTTTCTGTATGGGTTGGCAGCCTCTGGGACCCTAGAACCCTGCAGGCTTTTGCTGAAAAATCACTGGCCCATAGGAATCCTCTTCTCATCACCTATAATCTACCGAGGGCTTTCTGCCAGTGTCCTGGTCCCTGGGGCTGCTCAGGGGCTGGGGAACTGTCCTCAGAGACAGAGTGAGTGTCCAGAGGATGCCTGCCCCTCATTCGGGCCCCGAGATGATTCGTCCCGCGTCTGCGTTTTGGCTGAGAGCCCTGAGCCAACCCCACCTTGTGCTTACAGGTATACCTTGTTAGTGGGCAAGCCCCCATTTGAGACATCTTGCCTAAAAGAGACCTACCTACGGATCAAGAAGAACGAGTACAGCATCCCCAAGGTGACTAAAAACACTTGAAGTGTAACTTGAGTATGTTTTGTTCCCCCCCCCCACCCCCAAAGCTTTTTACTAAGCCCAGCTGCAACCTGGGGGCACAGAGAGAGGTCAGCCCCACGCATCGGGGAGCCTCAGCGCCTTAGAGGGTCTGTGTCTGACACTGCGGACAGAACTGGACATATGTGCACAGAAGCATTTTTTCCAGGGGGAGAGAGTTTGTAGATTTCACAAGTTGGGTAGATAACCCCAAAAATGTGTAAAAAGCAAACACCAAAAAAAAAAATGGAAAGGGAGCAGGAGGCAGAGGAGAGGTGCCGCCTGAGCTTGGTGCCACTGGGCAAATGGAGCAGGAGGCAGAGGAGAGGTGCCGCCTGAGCTTGGTGCCGCTGGGCAAACGGCCTGGCCCTCCGACCTGGGGCTCCCACCCATGACACGAAACTGCTGCCGCGGCAGCACCTCACACTTGGCCTTGCACACGTTAAGTGCTCACAGTTGGGGACCACTGAGTCCAAATGGTGTGCATTTTCACAGCCACCTGGCACATGGCTGTTTTCCTGCTTCGTGTTCTTGCCTTGTGTGCAGCCAAGAGCCCTGTCCCATAAGGACAGACAGTCCTGAAGGGTCAGTTAACTGTCAGACGGACGCAGCATGGAGTGGTTCAGAGTGTGGGCCCTCCTGCCGGCTAGACTGCATCCGTGTGGGTGCTGGCTCTACCACTCATTAGGTGTGCATTCTTAGGGACATAACCTCTCTGCCTCAGTTTTCTCATCTGCAAGAGAAGGGTGGTAAGAGGTCTCCAGCCCTTAGATGTTTTTGTGAGGGTTAAATGAGTGGCTATGATGTGCTGTGGATAGTGTCCTGGTACAGTGAGCATGGAGTTAATGCTAGGCTGTTCCTATGCATTTGACCTGAGCTCAGTTATAGCCCTCAGAACCTTCTCACCAGGGCTCCAGGCTTGGTGCTGTGTCCCCATTTTATAGATGAAGATACTTGTCACAGCTGGTGTTAGGGGCAGAACTGGGACTTAAACCAGGTCTCTGTGGCTCCAAAGCCTGTGAAGAGCAGCTTGAACTATGCAGGAGCAAACTCGGACAAAACGACCTCAACTCCATCTTGAGTTTCAAGAGGAAGGAGAAATAACCATCCTCACAACTTACTTAGTCTGACGCTTGTTGATTCAATGAAGCTGATAGTGGGGAACCTGGCATTGCCTAGTCGCCGACTGGGGCCTATCTGATACCGGGGGCTGCAGGTGGAATGGACCTGCGGCTCCTTGTGCGGTGCCACACTCGGGCCTCCATACATCCTCTCACGGCTTCCCCCATCTCTGCTCCAGCACATCAACCCGGTGGCGGCCTCCCTCATTCAGAAGATGCTCCAGACTGACCCCACTGCCCGCCCCACCATCCACGAGCTGCTCAACGATGAGTTTTTCACCTCTGGCTACATCCCCGCCCGTCTGCCCGTCACCTGCCTCACCGTCCCACCCAGGTTTTCCATTGCTCCCAGCAGCCTGGACCCCAGCAGCCGGAAGCCTCTCTCCGTCCTCAATAAAGGTAAAACGAGGTCTGGGTGGACACTAGACCCCGCACAAAGAACCTGGGCTTCAGGTGTGTGGGTGGATGGCCCAGAGCGAGGCTGTGCATGGTCCTGAACCCTTGGCCCTGTCCTCCCAGCAAAATGCCCTTTTCCTGGGCTCTGTCAGGAACTCAGACCGCAACAAGGCTGAGTGACACCTGGCAGACCCACAGAGGGGACTGGACTGAGCGGCACACCTGAAGAAGCCTCCCTCGGAAAAATTCTGACCATCGCTCTAGTATGGTTCAGAGAAGACTGGAAAGTTTCACATGTCCACGCAGAGCTGAGGGCAGTGGACTCCAACACCCTGCCAGATGCAGGTCACCGAGATGTTGTCCTGTGTGCCTCATCTCCTTTCTTGTTCCTCTGAAGTTTTTGAAGTTAATCACAGACCCTATAAACTTCAGTGCATGTGTCTTTAAAAGGATGGACATCTTCTTATAAAACCACATGCCACTGATTAGGTTGTCATTGTTTCTAGGTCTTCAGAGGACAGAATTAGGAGATGCCTAATATGGGGGGCAGGGCATGAGTTTAATTTCAAACTTAGGAAAAGGCGTGAGAATAGGCAAAACCTCCTGTGTCCACTTTACCCAGAGCCACAGTTTGTGTTTTTTTTCACATTTGCTTCATGAGCCCCCCCTTTCTTCTGAACTGTGTGTGAGTAAGTTGTATATATCCTGTCGTTTACGACTTAATACTTCAACGCATGTTTCCCCAAACAAAGGTTCTTTCACAAACCACAGCACATGGCACAGTTATCAGGTTCAGGAAATTAATGTTGATACAGTCTTATTTTATGGCAATCTTTTCCTCTCCTGTGAAGTTCCTGCTTTTCTTTTGGTAATTATAAGTGGTTCTAATATACTGTTACAGGGTTTTTACTTCTTTGATTTTACCTTTGTATTTCTTTTCTCTTAAAATCTTGTCTCATTACTTTAAATTTTTCAACATACATAAACAACTTCCTTTTATTAAATGATGTTTTGTTTTCTTGCAGTTCTATTTGTCCTTGGAATATATTTCACTAAAGATAAAATAGTGTGAAAAAAAGATCACTTGAAATATTTTTTTTCTCTGTTTGACATTTTTCTATTGGGGATGCCAGTCTTGATCACTTGGTCCTGGTGGTGTCTGATGGGCTTCTCTGCAGTGTCACCTGTTTCCCTGTGTAGTTAAAACATGACTTGCCGGGAGCTGCTTTGAGACTGTCCTGTTTCCCAGGTTTGTGCCCATGATGTCAGCACCCCTGGTGGATGCTGCCTGTGGCAGTTGTGCCCGTGGCAGTTGTGCCCGTGGCGTTCCGACAGTGATGTTTCTCTTTCCTGGCTCCTTCCACGTTTGTTCAGTGGGGCTCTTCTGTAAGGAAGAGCCAGTGCTGCTCACCCACGCACTTACTTATGTGACTGTCAGTCTGTGCTCAGGGATGTTTGTTCTTTGGGCTATCATGTAATAGTGTTTTTTTAGGGATTACTTTTTCTTTTCGCTTTAATTTTTGGGCATAAAACATTTTATAAAAACTTCTTATGCTGGAAAGTTTCAAACTTACCCAAAAGTAGAGAGAACTGTATGAGGACCCCCATGTATTCATCATCCATTTTCAGTAGTCAGTAACGTCTGCCTGTATTTATTTTTATTTATCCCACACCCTCCCCCCATTTTTGGCTAGAGTTCTAAAAGCAAATACCAAATATTATTCCACACTTAAGTCTTTATTACAGCTTTTAAAATGGAAAGCTCTGCTCTTTACTATTATAAAGAACTTCATGTTCCACAAGAAGGGGCCCGGGGTGGAGAGAGAGAGGATTAAACAGATGAGCATGAGACAGAATTGTGCTTCTGCCGCTCAGACATAACCAACGCTTCAGGTTCAGTGGGGATCTCCTCCGACTGTTGGTTACATGTGAGTATATAAAGCACATTTTAGGGCAGGAAATCTCTTACATTTTCGTTAAATGCCTGCTTCATTCATCCTGCTGGTCTGCAATTTGCTGACCCCTCCCATTTTCCTGGATGCCGAAGGTACTTTTAATTCTGAGTGTACAACACTCTGTGTCTGGGTGTGGCCGTGGAACCTTCCTAAAGGGCTTGGCCTGGTGCTGGAGGTACCAGTGAGTACCAGGTGCCTGTCCTTAGAGCATGAGCTCTAATAACCTGGCACTGACTCAGTTTACCCAAAGCAATAGAAATTTCCCCTGGGGAGAGTATCAGCTATGTCAGGGGGGCTGTGCCCCTCCCAACCTGCTACTTTTGTGCCTAGCTAACGACCACGTCTCTCCTCCTAGGTACGGAGAACCCCATGCCTGAGAGGCCCCGAGAAAAAGAGGAACCAGTGGTCCGAGAGACTACCGAGGCGGTAGACTGCCACCTTGGTGACATGCTACAGCAACTGCACAGTGTCAACGCCTCCAAGCCCTCAGAGCGGGGCCTGGTCAGGCAAGGTGCGCACTGCGGCCATCTGCGCTGGGGTTACCCAAGGCATCTCGCGAGGGCAGAAAGTCTCAGCCAGCAGAGTGTGGTGGCTTGTGCAGGCCCCTATCCCCATATGTTTAGTTCCCCCATTTCCTGTAGGTTAAAATCCCAGTGAGTTAGCCTGACGTCCAAGGCCTTCCGTGGTCTGGCCCCTTCCTTTCTGACTCGTGTTCTGTCTCCACAAATGCCCCATGTCCAGGACCTCCCTGTGCTGCCTTGGTGCGTGTCCATAGTTTCTTCTGTTCAGTGAATTCCTGGTTGGCCTTTAAGACAGTTGAAATAACAGACCTGAACGTGCTCCAGCCTCAGGGCTCTGCTTGCATTGTCCCTTCTAGAAAGTTCTGCGTGGCTCACATGCTCATGTTTTTCAGATGCCTCCTCTGGGTCCCCCCTTCGCCAGCATTTCCTGGTCCCATGCCTGGCACCTGCCACCCCCATTCCTGCTTCATATTATCTATAGCACCTCTCCCTCGACGTGCCCATACTGGTTTTCTGGACTTTAAAGAAGAGATTATTGCCATCACTGTGCATAACATTTTGATGTATTTGGAATTGTCTGTCTTCTCACAATTTTTTAATCACTCAAAACAGAAAAGCTAGATAATCTGTCAGCCACTGGCTCTAACAATGATGGAAGCAACTTAAATACTTTGTTCGTATTTATTTTGATTAGTCTCTGTCCCTATGACTAGAATGCAAGCTCCGTGAAGGCTGGGTTTTGGTCATTGCTCCCTGTACCTGCGACCCTGCCTGGCACATAGTAGGCCCTTGATTAAATGGGTCAGTTGAATGAATGAGGAGAACTTGGTGCTCTGTACTATAACTTTCTGCTTACATGTCTGTCCCGCTGCTTGTCTAACTTGTTGGCAGCAGAGGCCTGGCTTTGCTCTTTGGGGCTATAGGTGTGGTGCCCACCTGGTGTGGGCCACCTGAGGGGAAGAGACTGGTTCTGACCAATCATCTGTCTGTTTCCATCCCAGAGGAGGCTGAGGATCCCGCCTGCATCCCCATCTTCTGGGTCAGCAAGTGGGTGGACTATTCGGACAAGTACGGCCTTGGTAGGTTTCTTCCAAAAGGGGTGGATGGCCCTGCTACAGCCTCGTGACCCTTTGACCTGTTACAGGCTCTTGCCTTTTTTGGCTGCCAGGCCCTCTCTCAACTCCCATCTCCATCCCAGGTCTCCCAGGGCCAGCTCCCCATGTTCCCCTGCTCTCTGCCCCCTTTCTGAGGTCTCGCCCCACTACCCCTAGGATATCAACTGTGTGACAACAGCGTGGGGGTGCTCTTCAATGACTCGACACGCCTGATCCTCTACAACGACGGCGACAGCCTGCAGTACATAGAGCGTGATGGCACAGAGTCCTACCTCACCGTGAATTCTCACCCCAACTCCTTGACAAAGAAGGTGGGTGCTGGCTGGCCCGTGTGGCCCCACCGTGCTAGGAGTCCGAGTGATGTGCCAGGCGGGCTCTAACTCTGGGCTCCCTGGCTTTCCAACTAGATCACCCTCCTTAAATATTTCCGGAACTACATGAGCGAGCACTTGCTGAAGGCAGGGGCCAACATCACGCCACGGGAGGGCGACGAGCTGGCCCGGCTGCCCTACCTGCGGACCTGGTTTCGCACGCGCAGTGCCATCATCCTGCACCTCAGTAACGGCTGTGTGCAGATCAACTTCTTCCAGGTGCGTGCGCGGGGAGCCGGGGCGGGGTCTGCGCCTGTCGCGGGCTCATGGGGCTGGCGGGGAGTGAGAGCCTGGGACCTGGCCCCCAGCCACTGGGCCGTCTTCCTTCTACTCCCTCTACAAACATTAGCATCTGCACCTTCAGTCCACTGATCACTCTGTCCGTCCCCTTCCTTCCCTTGTCCTTCCCTCGCAGGACCACACCAAGCTCATCCTGTGCCCGCTGATGGCCGCCGTGACTTACATCAACGAGAAGCGGGACTTCCGCACGTACCGCCTGAGCCTCCTGGAGGAGTACGGCTGCTCCAAGGAGCTGGCCAGCCGCCTCCGATACGCCCGCACCATGGTGGACAAGCTGCTGAGCTCTCGCTCGGCCACCAACCGCCTCAAGGCCTCCTCGTAGGCCTTCCCATGGGACTGGTGCTGCCCATTACCCCGTTCTGGCTGGCTCCCACGGTGCTGGTTTTTGTAGTGTGCCCCCCAGCCCTGGGGGCTGCAGGGGGGGCTGCTCTGTAAGTTATTTTTGTACACGTTCGGGTCTGGGTTCTGTGGCCCCTTGCTTCCCTCTCCCCTGCACCATATGTACAGAATATTGCTGTTGGATTCAGGACTGTCCTTTCCCTGCTTTTATGAACATTAAACACATGAGAATCTTGCTTTTCTTGTGGTCCGAGGAGTGTCTGGCACCCGGGCTTTCGGCGCATCTCTGCTACAGTACCCAGCCCGGGCTGCAAGCCTCTGCAGTGTTTTCCAGGTGAGGCCAGCCTCAGGCAAGGCCTGGCCCTCGGCTGGCTGCCCTCAGCTCCCGGCAGCTCCCTGGCGCGGCTCCCTGGTCCCTGGGGCGGGTGGGTAGTAGGGCAAGAAGAGGCTCTCGGAGGCGCAGCTCCTCATGGCGCGGTGTGTGTGGAGGAGCAGCTGCGGGAAGCGGGCTGTGAAGTACTGGACGAAGCTGTCGGGGACGCCGCCTAGCGCCTGCCGGACCTCTCCTGGGAGCTCCCTGTAGTGGTGCTTCTGCAGGGAGAGAGCAGGGCCCTGGGTCAGCGGAGACCCAGCCTTCCCAAGAGCCAGGCCCTGCCCGAGCCCCTGCACGCACCTTGTTCCTCATGGCGCGGAGCAGGTCTCGCACTGAGGTCCCCTTGTAGGACCGGAACCTCCTCAGATCTGTGGTCGGGGGGATTCTTGGCTAAGCCTTCCCACTGGGCCCCCCTTGGCCTTCCAGCACCGCCTCCCCCCAACCCCCACCCCCACAGTCTGGCCTGTACCTGTCTGCAGCGGCACCGAGATGTGCTTGTGCCAGTCACCCCGGACCACGGCGGAGCCTCCTGCCTCCAGGGCCGTCACCAGGGGCCCCTGTTCAGGCTCCTTCTCCAGCCAGTCACTGACATCCTAGGACCCCATAGAGCTCCTGAGCCCGTGACCAGTTTCTAAGGCCACAAGGCCAGGAGGCCTCCCTCCTGTTATCCCACCAGGGCATTACCAACCCATGAGGAGCACTGTTGGCCTCCATTTTACAGAGGACCCAACAGGCTCAGAGGCAGTGCCGTGCTCAGATCCTTTAGCTGGAATGGGCTATAGGCCCAGTGCCGCATGAGTGACAGCGGGGTGGAGGGAACAGGAGCAGGTGTGCTCTCACAGGGCGGCTGGGGCTGGGGAGGGGGAGGGACTGCAGCGCCAAGAGGGCAATGGTTAGGAGTTTGCTCCGTCTTGGTTTAGCTAAAGAACCGGCTCCTCATGCAGGTAGACAAGTCCCTTGCTCTTAGACCATCTGGTTTCCCCTTTCTTGCTGCTCAGAATCCACACTTGGGACTTGGAGCCCATTCCCGAGATTCCCCCTGACCTGGAAGAACTGGAGCTGCTTGGCTGGGCTCCAGAAGAAGGGGTGGGCCAACACCTGCGGAGCAGAGGGGCGCTCCTGGGGCTGTGGGCTTAGCATGGCCTCCACCAGGCTCCGGGCAACCGCCTTGTCTGTGGGGAAAGGGGTGGCTTAGGCCCCCCCAGCCTCATGCCCAGCTTCCTCCCTTCTTTGCTGGGCCAGGTCCCCCTCACCATGGGCCTCTTCCTCCAGGTGAGCCAGACAGGGAGCCCCTGCAAGGATGTTTGCCTGTCGATACAGACTCTCTCCAAAGGGGTGGCTGCCGCTGGAAAGCACATAGTAGAACACGCAGCCTGCAGAGAAGATGTCCACCGCACTGGTCTGGGGCCAGAGGAACAAGCGTCAGGAGGAAGTCTGCGTCCAGGAAGTCCAGGGGGCGTTTGCTCAGAGCAGAGCTCAGGATGCTTCCTAGAGGCATCTCCTTAGCCCTAGATCCCCTCCCCTCTGCACCACTGAAAGGGGCCCATGGTTTTCAACCCAAATCTCTGCCCCTACTGAGCTTTAGTTTGGGCTTCCCAGCGTCATTCCTCCAGCTCTAGTAGGTGACACGAAGGCCAGACGTGTGGCAGTAAGGTGGCGTTAAGCGCTCCGGCCTGGCAGGGCCCCATGCACAGGCCGCAGAGCTTTCATTCCCCAGGAGGACCCAGAAGTCCAGATATTTATGTGCAATTTCCCAAAAGTGAAAATGCGGGCTGATGAAAAAACAAAAGAATCTGCACAGGCTCCTAACAGTGCCTTTGGTCCTCTGGCCTGCAGGTGGCCATTCCTAGCTTTCTCTAGACTTTAGGGGTGGGGACAGCTTTGCCTGTGACTCCTTTTGTGCTGCTGCCACCTCTGTCTGTGACTACAACTTCCACACACACTGATGGCTCAATAATCTATAAACCTGGGACCCGAAACTCAAGTGTCTCTGGGGTCAGACACTGCTCTGCTTCAGCTCTACTAGCTCATGCTCCTGAGCCTCAGCCCCAGTGCTGCTCCACCCTGGCTGCTCATGAAACCCCCGGGCCTTGCCCTAGCAAATCGGCTGTAGTCAACAGGTGTGGGGCCTGGATGGCTGACCTTAAGTTCCCCCATGATTCTGCAGAACAGTGAAGAGTTAAAACCATTTTCGTTCAAGGTTCTTAACTTTAGCACTATTGACACTTTGGGCCTGATAATTATTTGTTATGGGGTGGTCACGGGATATTTAGCAGCATCTCTGGTCTCTACCCACCAGATGCCAGTAACAACACCCCCACCAAGTGTGGTTACCAGAAATATCTCTAGACATGTGCCCCTCGGGTGGTGAAACGGTCCCTGGTTAAGAGCCACTGCTCCAAGTAAGAAGGATGAATGATCCCACTTTACAGATGAAGATCAGGTTCAAGCTCACACAGCGGCAACGCAGAGCCTGGGCAGGAGAGGCACTGGGCCAGGGTGATGGGAGGACTCACAGGGCTGTCTGGGGGCAGCAGCTGTAGGAGCTCAGGCGCCATCCAGCCCTCTGTGCCCGGGACACCTGAGCGCAGGCTGAAGCTGCAGCGGCCGGCTGTAAGCTTCTTGCACAGGCCGAAGTCGGAGAGGACCGCCCTGCTTCGGCCCTGGCCGTCAGGCCCCGTGATGAGCACGTTGGCTGGCTTCAGGTCCCGGTGCACTGTGGGAGGGGAGGGCAGCTGAGCGCAGGTGGGGAGGGCAGGGTGGGCCAAGGGGCGTGAGAGGTGGGTGGGTACCTATGTGTAGAGAGTGCAGGTGGGCCAGGCCAGACATGAGGTGCTGCAGCGCTGTCTCAGGCTCCAGGCCCCAGCGGTCCAGCTCGGGGTGTTCCACGTACTGAGGAGCAGTGAGGGCAGGGGTCACCCTGCAGCCCCGGACCTTCCAGCCCTCACCCAGACCTCCCTGCACTCCAGCCTCACCTCCTGCAAGGAGGCAGGGCAGAGCTCCAGGGCGATGTAGTAGAACTGGGGTCCCCGCTCTGTACAAAAGTAGCGGAGCACATTGGGGTGCCTGTCTGACTCTTGCAGCAGCTGGACCTCCCGCCAGACCAGGCCAAAGCATTCACGAAGGAGTCGCTTGACAGCCACTGCCCGCCCCTCAAACTGTCCCCTGGTAGGTGGGGAAAGGTTCAGAGAGGGCAAATAAAGGAAAAGGTTAGGACTGGTGAGAGAGGCACCAGCCTGCACCCGCCTTGGGGATTCTTGAAAGAATAGCCCTCTGAGGGACAATGACTGGAAGGGTTGCGAGAGCCGCATCTCCAGCCAGCTCCTGGCTGCCACTCACCGGAAAACGAAAGTCCCGCCTGCCCCACGGCCCAGCACATCCTTGGGGTTAAAGGAGATCTTCCCCACCACAGTGAGCTGCTCAGCTAGGGGCAGAGGAGGGCAGGATCTCAGGAAGCCACCACTGCCCTGTCCAGACCCACCCTGCCTTCACCTTTCTTCAGACTTCCCCCCTTCTGTGCCCAGCCTGGTGCCGGACTGCCCAGGTCCAGTGCCTGGTGCTGCCACTGATTCTGTGTGTATACTTGGGAAAGCTACTTAACTGCTGTGATCTTGGTTTTCTCATCTGTAAAGCAGTTTAGACAAGGCGTCTGCTCTCCAGTTTGCCACAGTCCCCTCCACTCCCTATTCTCTCTTCAATATGGCAGCTTTGCTCCTTTAATTTATCCAGCCGGCCTCACACAGGCATGAGTGTGCAACCCTCCTTTCAGCCTCCAGAATGTGCGCCCTCCTTTCGCTCATCTCTGAACCTTTGCCGGTGCCGTTGGTGCCACCTGGATCCTCGCTCCACTACCTCCAGCTCTCTTGGGTAATTCCTTCTTAGCCTTTGACCAGAGCTTAGCCGTCACTTCGAGGACACTTACTCTGTCCTCACGTCTGAGTTCTGTGCCCCTCCTCTGTTCACACAACACTGTCTGTGACCCATCATTGCCTGTCTCACACCACCTAACAACTGCCTGTCCTCTCCAGGCTTTGCCTAGACGTCACAAAAACGCTAAAGTGAAGAGTTTATCAGCACTTTAAACAAGGGAAGTGAAAGAATCGTGTGTTTTTTTATAATAGAGGAAATCCAGTATTACCTGGAGAGGGTACCACTGAGCCATAACAGGTACCAGGCTCCATCTGGGTGTTTTATTTTCTCAGATTCTTGTCCTCAATTGCTGATATCACTTTGATTACTTTTTTTATGGTGGTTAAAAAGAAAGGTGGGTATTTTATATAACAAGGTGTCCTGGCTGAGCCAGGGCTGGGGTCCAACACCCTCTTTTCTCCTCTGAGGATCACTGGTGACACTGACGAATCAGGTACCGGAGGAGACGCCTGGGGAAAGAGCTACCTCGGGCAGTGATGGGCCTAATGGGCTGTGGTCCTGAGGACCATGGCGAGGAGGGCCTCAGGCCAGCGGGCGAAACCGCCTGGGTGTCTGGGGAAGACTCAGGTAGGAGGTCCAAGGAGATGAGTGTTTCCGGATGTGGTGGGACCCACCCAGAGCCAGGAAGGTGACAGGAACTGCAAGACTCAGGGCTCAGTGGTGGGGGCTCTGGGGTGGGGACTTTCTAAGAGAGGCGGCTCCTGAGGAAGGGCAGCTGCTCTGTCTCCACAGAGGAAGGTGAGCACGAAGGTGGAAGTTGGAAGCAGCACTGGAGCATCGAACCCCGT